CCATTTTCGCCTCAAAAACGGCAAAAGTTCAAACGCCGCTAACATCTTCATTTGTAAAGGAATCAAGACGTAACAAAATAGGTTATACGTAATTTTACTTTGTCTATCAAATGGTTATCTCGGTTTTTTGTCAATTTTGGATTTTGGCCTAATTTTTTTCAAAAAACTGACTGTTTTGGGAAAATCATTATAAAATCCAAAATTTTGAGTCTATCTAAAAAACCGGAATATATGTCTGAGAAGTGGTCTATGTGCACCTACATACCAAATTTTAGAAGAATCGGTTCAAAAATGTGGGAGTTATTCAAAATTTTATGACGTCACGCTCACGGCACACAATTTTTTTGAAAAATGACTTTTTTGGAAGTTCTAGACCTCGTACGGAAACAAAAATAGCACCATTCGATTCGCCGTGAAAAACTGCATCAGATAGACACCTTTTGAGGCCTTAACAACCAACTTCAAAATTTGACCTCACTTGACCTGACCTTGACCTGACCTCGACCTGAAATTCATCCAGAGGTGGTCCATATCACTTAATGAGTGTGCCTATTGAATTCTATGAGTAAAATGACCCATAAAACATGTGTCGCACATGCCCTTTTCTATATTTTGTTTTTTCGTGACCTGACCTGACCTGACCTTGACCTTGACCTCTGAATATTATATGCAACGAATATTGTCTTGGTAGCCTAAGAACACGTTTTGGGCGATCAGTCTCAGTCCATGACTCCATTCTTCGGCAACTACGGAGCAAGGCCGATACTGTAGAAACTTGCAATTTGTACCCTTGACCTGACCTTGACCTTGACCTCAAACTTTAAATTAAGTACATGTTTTTAGTAGTTCGTGATGAGAGCTTTCGATTGGCGTTTGAATTTTCCAAATCGGACCATTAGTTCGGGAGATAACAGGGGGGGGTAAAATTTACCCCCCAGCCCCGCGCGTTCGGCTGGAGACCCCAGCCCCGCGCGGGTTAATCGACTGATCTCATTTTCTATTACCGGAAACAACTGTTAATACGTTTAACTACATGGCAACCCTGACTGCGTATAGTATCGCAGGTACGCTGATGTGGCCTTTGGTCGTGGGCATTTACACATGAACCTGCTGCTCCGACCCTTATCGGTCTCCGGATACAGAAGCCCTTGAGAACCGGCGCGGGCGGACCTTTCGGACGAGGTCTTGCCGAGGTGATGCGGGAGGTAGAGGACGGACCGTCCATAGCGCCGGTGAGCTATTCTCTAACTATCTCCCGGAGTCAGGGTGGCTGCAAATTTTTTTTTGCGCTGCCCTGGCTTGGCCGGACTGACAAAAATGTAAAAAATAAAAAAATCCCGAAATCCGAGGAGAAAAATAGGGGTAGCTCGTTTTTTTTTTTTGTTCCTAAGACTGGACGTTTGAAATTCTCGCCGACTTGCCTGGCGGCGCAATGTTTGCCCCCCCCTAAACTCAAATCCTAGATCCGCCACTGAGAAACGCGTTTCCCACCCCCGTTCGCCGCGCCACCGCGCCGTTGAGTCACAGACCGCCATCCGGCACCCGGGGCACCTCCCGGTCGCCGGGTGGCCGATCCCGCTGGATTAGGTCAGCACCGGCGCTCGCATAGGTTCCAGATCTGATACGGCGACGGCATTTCACTTTCACATAACCCCGACCGGCGACGGCGGGTGGCGGGGGCGGCGGCGGCGAGTGATGAGGCCTGGCGGCTGCCGTCGCCCCGCCGCCCGGGCCGCGGTCCGCAATCAACGGGCTTCCGGCCGCCCCAGGCGAGTCTGCGCGAACCGTTTTCGGCATCATTTGGCAGGTTTCCCGAGCGGAAGGACGGTTATGTGCTCCGGGGTGCCATTATCGCTAGCAGGGAAGCATTATTTGGCTAATGTGTATATTATATGATAGAACGCCGGCATATCGGCACCCAAAGGCCATGGCTGGGGTTGGCATATTATTCTGAGCTGGGAGCATCACAACTCTTTTATCAAGCATGCAATCTTTTATGATGTGATGAGGCAAAAGTAGAAGCTCAATGGCGCAAGATGACGTGGAACTTGTAGATCCAGTTGAGTAAAAGTCTTGCCACCCGATCCCGCCGAGAATGACCTTCCCCATGGCAGGAGAGCCGACCACTGACGTCACCCGAGCCACCCGTCTCGTCTGTCAGCCGCCGTCAACATGTTGTGTGAGGCTGCACGCGACTGAGGGCCCGGGGTCAAACATTGTGACACCTCCGGGCCTGACCCCGCGCCGGGGCGCAGGGGTAGGTGACAAACACCCGCTGAGCCGCCACCTCTGCCAGGTCGCCTGCGGCCCGCAGGTCGAGCCGAGCCGCTCCCACCCGCCGGCAGGTGCAGTAATGAGCTGTTCACATCCTGCAGTTGCCGCCAGGGGTCGCAGAAAACACAGCCTCGGGACCACCCGTCATAAGTCACCTCCGAAGCCCGTCTCTGAGCTGAGGTATAACCAAATCTGACGCACCAATATAGTTTCCACAATCCACAGTCCACAGATTTTCCAGCACTGATTCGTGCGTGAGGTCAGTTGTGACTAGAAATGAGACGGCATTACTTGTTCTATCACATCGACAGTTCCCAGCAAGAACATCCTAAGCGTCAAATTTTCGAAATTGAGATCTTTATACCATTCGACTCAGCTCGCTTAGGATGTTCTCGCTAGGAACTGTCGACATATAGTGTGAACTAAACTTTACCCGTCGCGACTGTCCGATTCTTTCAGCCCATTAGCTATTACAGCTGCCAGGAGTGGCGCCGCTGGCCGGCCGCCAGCCTCCTCCTACCCGCGCATTGTCTCAGAGTTCGCGCTACAATGACCCGTGGAAGACGAAAGTTACCCAAGCCGACTGCAGCCTCGCGGGCCAAAGGTGGTGGCGTAGCGACCGACTCAGTTGATTGAGAGAGGACTCATTTGAGAGAGCCCATGTGAGGTTAAGGCCAAACAGAGACAGGCAGAAACCCGCAACCCCATTAAGTGCGATAATCTAAGCATTTGCTGCGTTGTTGAAGTAAAATGTAGCTTCCTGTCTTTGCTTTAATAAATCGTTTTACTGAAGCTGCGGATAAAAACTTTCCTAGACGCTGTTCAAATTGTCTCAAGCTTTTATCTGTTCCCTCCTTAGATGGACATTGTGTGGTGCGAAACAAGGCAGTTTGCTTTGTTTGGTCTTACAGTCAATCCAAGGGTAGGACGCATACGTTGTGGAACAACAGAGACATTTTCAGCCGAACGGGGCACAGATCCATTCTGCAAAGTGCAAAGTACAACGGAAACCACAGGAAGAGGACAACTAAAGCGAGTGATAATTGCTAGCAAGTGTTGTTTTTGCGACTAGCATCTTTGCAAGGCTGCAACATTTGTCAGTAATTTACGCCGTGTGTGAAGACTGCAGAAAAGCGGTTACAGACTAAATGTCAACAGTCAACACCAGCACGGCGCTGGATACGGTTGTTGGTTTAGAACAACGGAGCTGCCGATGGCGAAACACCTGTCTGGGATGTTCTGCCAAATTTGCAGGAAACGGGAGTTGGTGTTCCATTTCGTACCTACTATTCAATTATTATGCTTACATAACCAAAGGTTTGTTGTCAATAGTTAAAACACTATTCGTTAGCATTGTGTTTTCTTTTGAAAAACAAATCTGAGTTCCCTGACAATTTGGCAAAAACTGCCTGAGATAGGCGAGAATTGCTGTAGAAAATTGGTGCACACCTCAGCACCTGAGAAGCAGCGACGTAAAATTTGGAATGCCAAGCAAGAGCAAATAATTCTCGATCCGTCCAAACATTTCATAGTGTAATTTTTTCACAACGAAAGTTTCATGCTGTAAGTATAAATTGCATAAACGTTACTGGATACTGAGACAAAGCTCATGTAAAACCCGTCGCTGTAAAAACCAGCCGTCGGGGTCGAGGTCAGGAGGTTGAGGTTCCTGACACCGGGACTTCCACGCCCGATGACGGCACCTGGCGCGTGCACGCTCTGTGGGAGAGACGGCCCATGTAGAGGGGCTCACGGAGAGCAGACTGCTCGCGAGGAGGGCGGCTCACGAGGTTGGCTCACGAAATCAGCTCATTGGGAGAGTGGCTCATGCGAGGACGGTTTAAAAGAACAGCGTCTCAAAGCAATCTATGACCCTCCAGTCCAAGCAGCTTGGATTGATTTCCATGGTCCCTCTGCTCGGTCTAGGGCTTTCTCAGGTCACCTGCTCTCGAGTGTGACAGTGGCCGGTGTTGAGAGCGCCCAGACCAGAACCTCCAAGGGCGGCTCCGCGGCTCAGGTTTCCCGCTGTGGCCACAAACTGCAGCAGAGCGGACCCTGAGCTCCGACCTGAGGCCCTGAGCTTCGACAGCGACCGCTACACCGGTAAGAGATGGGTCTGCAGGGGATAAAAGTGAAAACCGCACGCTGCCTTGGTGTCAGCGTGAGACAAAAGTGACGGTAAAGCACTGGTGGGCCCAGCCGAGGCTAAAAGGGAGAGAGGGGGGGGGATAACAAATCGAAAGGTCGGCTGTTCATTTCTTTGCGCGCTGTGTCACAGGCGTATGTAATGTTCGAAATCGGCCAAGTAGTTTTCGATAGTGGATGGACCTACGAAGTGCAAACAAAGCAATAGTTACGGCGGTTCCGTGTGCAGAAAATTACCATATTGGCTGCGTTCAAATAGAGCGTGACTTTCGGCAGTGTCTGTCGTGACTTCTGCTGGCGTTCCGCCGTATAAATTCGAAGGCGAGTCCTGACGTGCGTCATGTGGAATCACAGTCATTTGCAACTCTCGAACATGCTAAAACAGTAGAGTCGTGGGATCACATGGAAGCCATCAGCGATGCTCAATGCTCATGGTCAAATAAAAATACATTCAAGTGAGTGGTGATAAAGTGCGCCCGTTCCAAAGTCAGGCTCATGCTTCTCATCTGTCGCTGTGGCGGTAAGAATGCCCACCGAAAGATGCGGAGTGTAGCCGATGGGGTCATCGACTCCAAACTCACCTCTAAAGAATCCCATGGCTGAAGTGCTATTTATGCATTAGCTCCAAGATGTGTCCAAATCTCCCGCTGGCCTCGTCTTGCTTGTCGCCCGGCCAGCTTCCTTCTGTCGGCTGATCAGAGACAGGCCAACATCACTGTTCACTGCGGTCAGGTCACTGGGGCGATCACCGGGCTCTTCAGTGCGCCGGAGCAGTGACCGGCATGCTGCGTCGGGGGTCGATGGCGAGCAACTGCACCTTCTGCTGGGCCGGCCGGCCGGCCGCGGGTCACCCCGCGCCAGTGACATCTAGCGGCCGTGCGCGGAACTAGGCCCGGCGGGTCGTCCAAGATCCGCCCCGACGGATCCCGCTGCGTTCTCGAGCGCGTTACAAGACGTGTAGAGAACGGAATCGGCGTCGGCGCCTTGAAGACGGGAGTGTGCGTGGGAATTCTACCACACCGGATTACATGGGCTTACCGCTCGTCACATTCCACAGACTGAAGACGTCGAGAACACGAGAGATGATTCACTCAACATTCCACATCAGCCTGCTGTCAGTTTTGCATTTACTGTATCTTTACGGTGTGATCGATCATCGAAGAGAGCTAATGGCGTTGCCACGTCTTACCCCCGAGAGACGAACGCTGATCTTGTGAATCTCCAGCTAGCACAGGCAGCGAAAGAAAAAGGGAACGGGACAGAGTCGAGCCTGAAACATGATGGCAAATGTCATCCTTTAGCTCGGCTTGAAAATGAGCGGAAATAAAAGCTCTCTTAACCGGCACCCCACTGGGGTCTGCGTATAACGCGCCCTTCTGGAGAGGGGGGGGGGGGGCTCTTCATAGCCCCCCTCCTAACTCCGAAACTGCTGGGCCGATCGTCAAAATTCAAACGGTGTCTGACAGCCCCGGAAAAACTGTCGATCGAAACTTAATTTTATTGATCTCGGGGTCACCGATGACGTCACAGGTCAGGTCAAAGTAAAAATTATCGATGTTTGGCTTGTTCACATTTTGGGCTCTGGCCGCCAGCTTACAAGACAGATCAGGCTCATTGTTGGTTTACATACTCGTGAATAGATGTTTTTGATACCCTGAGGGTACCAAACTTGTACTTTGAAATTCAGGTCAGGGTCAGCCGGTCAGGTCATCACAGGTCACGGAAATCTTATATCATGCATCGGTCACGTGACACATGTTTTATGATCCATTTAGGCCATATATTTCGAATTCGATGTCGTTTATGTCATTCGAGGTCATCTTGAGTTGAATTTAGCGTAGGTCAGGCCACTTTCAGGTCAAAAAAGGTCAAATTTAAAAGTTAATATTTTTTTCGACAAAATGGTGTCTATCGGATGCAGTTTGAGCTCAAGAACACGATGGTGCTATTTGTATTGGTGTGCGATGTCAAATACGTAGGTACTGAAAAATTATTTGAAAAAATTTGTTATTGTGAATTTTTTGCTATAATGCGTATAACGTAGTCATTTTTGAAGATATCTGGCTAAAACCTGCTATCTAGCAAGTTTACTTACCCTAGAGTAAGTAATAAGCACGTGTTCTACTTCTATCACATATATTCCGTTTTTTCGAAAAGTAAAAAAAATTGAAAAAAGATAAAAATATAGATTTTGAATTATCTTATATATAATTTTCAAAAATTCAAAAAAAAAATGAAGATCGGAGATGCCAGTTGGATATAGCGCAGTCTATTCTGAGTCCTGTTGGCTATCATGCAAAGAAATTGGATCTAGCTTAAAAACTTGACTCTTGGGAGCGACTGCCGTGGTTCAATGTTTTGCATCGAAATTGGCTGAACATGACGTCATTCCGGCAGACCTATGGTAGATACGAAGTTCATATTTTGACACAAGGCGTGAAATGAACGCAAGCCGAAGGTACTCAAAGTTTGGCGTCGATGCGTCAAACGGTTTATTGAACACTTAAGAACCCATCCATACAACATGGCTATTCTTGAGTTCGTGTCATAGGAGGTGAAAAAGTAAATACAAGGGGATGGTGACGCAATCAAGCACACATAAAAAATACATAGCCCACAAGCACGCATACTTTCTAAAATTGGCCCAGACGCCGTTTCACATTCCTTTTAAAAGCGCCCGGTGGTTGCTCCCTGACAGCGAGAGGCAGGGCATTGAAAGCCGACACAGCACGGTACAAAAATCTCCTTCGGCCGGACTCGGATCTTATCCGTGGAAGAGCGAGGTCTGCGTCCTGCCGTGTGTTGCGCTCTCTCCCCTCTCCTACTGTGGAGAGCTGCTCGGCGACATCCTGAGGAGCGCCGGTCACCAACATGCGCTTGAGTAGGCACAGAGTGTGGTAAGTGACCAGTTCACGAGCCGGGAGCCAGGTGAGAGTTTTGAGTGCGTCACTCACGCGGTCATGCTTGCGCCGCCCCGTAATAACTCGTGCACCGAAGTTAATCACCTTTTGAACGCGAGACATGTTTTTTGCGACCGCAGTACAATAGACACTGATACAATATCTCACGGTTGACAGAACCAATGCGTTGACAATAGTGATGAGAGTCTCTTTCGGTAGTCTATATCTGGCATGACTAAGACCTATGAGAAGACCAGTACATCGTCCGACAAGCTGATCTATATGGTACTCGTAAGACAGCGTGCGGTCCATTACCACGCCCAAGTTTTTGACGCGATCACTCTCGTGGATGGTACTGCCGCTCGCGGTAAGGGTAACAGGTGGAACACCTCGTAACATTTGGCGCGTACCCAATACTATAAGCTGCGTCTTGCTGGAGTTCAGTTTCAAGGAGTTTTGCATAAACCAGCGATGCAGGGTGTTAAGTGCACACTCCATGCGATGGACCAGTGATGCAATGTCACTTTTTCTGCCCGTAACGAGGAGCTGAGTATCATCAGCGTATTGAACGATGGTCACCTCGCTCTCTACGTACAAACTGATGTCGTTCGAGTACACGGTGTACAACAAAGGTCCGAGCGAGGTACCTTGGTACACTCCAATCGGGTTTCTCATCGGTTTGGAGGTCACCTGTTCGTTCTGTGGCGAGCTCATCCGAACGTATTGAAAATGATCCGAAAGATAACTTTGGAACCACTCAGTGTTCACTCCATAAAGTTCGAGTTTTTGAAGCAGTTTGGCGTGATTCACAACATCAAAACATTTACTCAGGTCTAACAAGACAAGAAGACAGATATGACCCTGATCCATGGCCTGATGGATGCGATCGGTAATTTGAATAAGTGCCGTTTCGGTAGAATAGTTTCGGCGAAAGCCATGTTGGGCGGAAGCAAGAAGGCAGTTGTTAACGAAGAAAGAGTACAACTGTTCGTGAACTAGCCGTTCTATGATCTTTGAGAGACAGGGCACAAGCGATATAGGGCGAAAACTAGATGGGTCGGTGAGAGCACCGACTGACTTGTAAATGGGCTGTATCACGGAGAGCTTCCACGGCGTAGGTACTGTACTGGTGACCAAACTAGTGTTAATTACGCAAAGGATCACATGTGCTATCGCGTCAAAGCAGGATTTCAAAAACTTCATCGTAATCCCGTCTGCATCCCGTTTGGAAGTTAGTGCAGAAAAACGGGACGGGGCTATGAATAGCCCCCTTCCCCCTCCCCCCCCCCAAGTGGGGCGCGGGTTAAGTGCTGTATCCAAACTGCATTATTCCGAACCTAAATTCTGAACCGTACCGCTCATTTATGCCACGGCCTGTGTAGCGCCTAATGCCTATTGATGCTGTTAGATTTTGGATCCTTCACAAACAATGCTCCCGACATGGCGGGAATAATTCACCAATGACAGCGCATCGTCCCCAGTTTCCATGGCAATGCTCAGCCGATATCATAATGTTTCTACGCCGCTGCGCTAGAAGCGCTATATGTAAATGCGTATAGGATATGACGTACCTTATCATATAGGATGGTCGCCGGCCGTTGCTAGGGTCCCCCTTGCTTGCCCCTTGCTCATGGGATGACGATGCCAAATCACCGGCTCGCCCCTCCCATCCCCCTCGCAACAATCGGTAGGAAAGCTCTGCTCTCGACCAATCAGATGGCAGGACAGGAGACGAACCCCCGTATGCCTGCGAAGTTCATGCCTGCGTCTAGGGGGGGGAGAGGGGGCTCGTCACTGGCCGCGAGCGGCGCGGAAATTTGAAACGCAAACAGTTGTCGCTCGGGCCCTCAGCGAAGGAGGGTGAATTGAGGAGTGCGATTGCGAGTGTTGACGAATGTCTGGTGACTGGTGGCCGTTGTGTGGTTTGTGGGGCTCGATATAGTGATTGGAGATGGTTAAGTGAATTATGTGCGTCTGGCCGAATAGTCCTCAAATCGTGGACGCGGTGAATGACTATTAATCAACACGGAAAACACGGACAGTCGCCGTGGAGGAGGGCGTGCTGGAGAACTTCATCTTCGATACGGTGACGTACCTACCGCATTATTGATTATAAAACATGACCCCCTGTTCAGTGTTCAATGTTCATTGTTCAGTGTTTATTTTGGACATGATGATTGGTGTGTTGATGGGACTGATGATTGATGATTTTAACCGGAACAATTTTTCTTCGAACTAACCCAAATCAAAATCAATGAAATCATTTTTGGCTCGATTCTGTTTCTGGTTTACAGTGAAACATTTGAAACTTGTAAACTTTTTCATGGTTCTGCTTCTCTTTTGATTTCTCTTTGCATTCAGCTCAAGGTATGAAAAAGCGTCGGCTGATCAAAATAATAATCCAATTTAAAATAACGAAATTTTATCGCAGGCCTAAGCTCCATTTGCAAGCCACAGAACTAATGCGAGCCACAAAATTCACACAATCCATTTGCGAGCCACAAAATTATGAAGCCATCACTGGCTTCATAATTTTCGAACGCGATGGGCGTTGACTCCATGCTATGGTCGAATGACCTTCATTTTCACGCAGAGCTGATAATTATGCGTTATAAATATGATCCTCTGCGAATACCTTGTTCCTTGTTATTTTACACGTGCTTTTGCCTCATACATTGGTTCTTTGTTATCGGTCATTGCGGTCAAGACCCTCGCTATATGCATCGCCGCAATGTCCTATTTCAGCTAATGAATGTCCCCAATGAGCTGCTTGTACCGTGGTGGCCTCATATCTACCCACTTCCTTAATGCCGCGTTAATTAAAACATAATGTCGGCACCCGTCCCAGGACGCGCAGAGTGGCCTTGCTTTGTCACTTGCAAGGAACTGTGTTAGCTATGGTAGTGG